GCATCCTTACCCACAGGGGATACATTCCAAAACCCCCTAGTGGATGCCTAAAACCGCGGATAGAACCAAGCAAACCCTATATATACTATGTTTTTTCCTATACATATACATTGCTATGATAAAGTTAGGCACAATAAGAGTTTAAAACAATAATAAAATAGAACAATTATAACAATATACAATACTGTAATATAAGTTATGTGAATTGCTTTCTCTCAAAATATCTTCTTGTACGTACAGCGTGGAGACGCTGGACAAAAGGATGATTCACATCCCAGGCAGGGCCAGGGGAGCGGGGGAGATAATGCAAGATTCCATCATTCCACTCAGGATGGCTCACAACTTAAAACTTGCATGTCGTTTGTTTCTGGAATTTTTTTTGTAATCTTTTTGGACCTTGGTTTACTAAGGATAACTGAAACTGGAAAGTGAAACCTGAAAAGGGGAGACTACTGTAGTCTGCGTAGGGCCACTAAGTCAGAACTTAAAATAAGACTTAATTTCATCTGATCAAGTGAATTGTTTTCTTGCCCTAGACTCCAAACCCCTTTACCCTGAGTCTTCAGAAGGGAACCCGGTATGGTGTTCTTAGGCAAGATAGCAGGCCATTTATAGATTCTTGATTTTCATTATTTGTTATGGTTTCCATCCCGACAAAGAGACTCTTAATTTATATTCATTTCTCTTTCTTTGCTGTTCTAAATCATACCTTAATTTTATATCTTAAATAACATAAAAGTTTTATAATTTAAGTATTCCCTTATAATGTTTATCAAAACATTATCCCTGTATAATTAGGAGTAGTATTTTGTAGTTTTTATTTCAGCCTGAGAGTGCACATGCATTGTCAGAAAGTTCTAGCAGGATCCTCACCTTGGTCATTTTATTTTTTTAGTAAAGACATATTTGAATTAGGGTTTATTTCCTCTTGTTTTTTTTAATTATTATTATTATTATCACACTAGAGGCCTGGTGCACGAAATTTGTGCACTGCGGGGATGAGGTCCCTCAGCCCGGCCTGTGGGAAGTGGGCCTAAGCTGGCAGTCAGACATTCCTTTCGCAGTTTGGGAGCCCTTGCTCCTTTCCACCTGCTGTTCGCTGCTCCTTACCTCTCAGCTCACTGCTGCTTAGCGCTGCCATGGAGGCAGGAGAGGCTTCCACCACCACCACTGTGCTCACCACAGTGCTCCCCCTGTGGGAGGGCTCTGACCACCAGGGAGCAGCTCCTACGTTGAGCGTCTGCCCCCTGGTGGTCAGTGCGCATCATAGTGACTGGTTGTTCTGGTTGTTCCGCTGTAACGGTCGCTTAGGCTTTTATTATAGAGGCCCAATGCACGAAGATTCGTGCAAGAATAGGCCTGCCTTCCCTTGGCTGCTGGCACCAGTTTCCCTCCGGCACCCAGGACCTGGGCTGCTTCTCTCTGGCTGCTGCTGCCACCCACTAGGGGCGTGCTCCAAGCAGCTGCTCAGAGTACGCCCCCACCCCTGGTGTGTGTGTGTCTGCTGGGGTGGGGGCGTGCTCCAAGCCACACCGTGCGGCTGCTCGGAGCACGCTCCAACCCCTGGGGTGTGTGTCGCAGCTCAGAGCACGCCCCACCCCTGGTGTGTGTGTGTCCGCTGGGGCTGGGTGCGGCACGCAGTCCCCTCCCGCCCATCTGCACACGCAGCTCCTGCTGAGCGGTCGTGATGCAGCCTCCTCGAGCCGGTTGTGATGCCCGGCTAATTTGCATATTACCTGTTTATATGTAGAGATGATCTTTCATGAGATTACTGGCCTGCTTACTGGAATAATCAGTGAAGCAGCTCTTGTTGATGGCTGTGTGCGTGCTAGGCTACAGAGGCTGCACTCTCTCCTTTTGTACTACTCAGGTAATTTTTTCCTGGAAGCCTGTGGCCTAGAAAAATATGTTACGCCTCTTACTCTGCAGAATGTGGTTTTCTTAGGTCCTCACTTAAGTCTCTCAGCCTGTGAATTTTCATCTATGAAATCTGCTAATCTCTTTTTTTCTCTTTAATCTTTCTTAGAATCCTCACAAGTTCTTTCCTGATGAACGTTTTGGGGATGAAAGTCCGCTCTTGACACTGAGACAGTCTGGGAGATGTCGTGTTAACAGCACCCCCACTGCAGAAACCATGTTTACAGATCTAGACTCTTTTGTGGCCTTCCATCCACCCTTGCCCCCTCCACCACCTCCATACCATCCCCCAGCTACTCCCATCCATAACCAACTCAAAGCAGGCTGGAAGCAAAGACCTCCCAGTCAGCATCCTTCACGTTCATTTTCTTATCCCTGTAATCATTCACTGTTTCACTCCAGAACGGCTCCTAAAGCCGGCCCCCCTCCAGTCTATCTGCCAGGTGTTAAAGCCCCAGCACCTGATTGTACCAACACCACAGGACTGGGGAGACAGACAGTAGCTGCTGCCGCCGCTGCTGCCGCCGCTGCCGCTACCACCTCCACAGCAATAGCATCTGAGAAACAAGTGGTAAGTGAACACCCCAGGAACTTACCTAAAAAATAAAAGTTTCTGGACTATTAGAAGCAAGTCCCTCTTAAGGGCCCTACTGGAATTCAGCAATGCCCAGAAGTGTTACTGACAAGCTGAAAGCATAGACTTGAGTGGAATGAAAAAGAGAGTGTGGGGAGTGAGAAAGGACAGAGAGGAGAGGCTGGTAGGTGTAGTCAAGTGCCTGCCTTATCTTTCTTTTCCTTTGGGAAGGGGTGGGGTTGTTGGGCAACATAAATGGCTATGTTTTGCCAGTTTCATAGTGCTCTATTCAAGCACATGTCTAGAGTCTGTCCCTAACTTGTATTCTGTAGAATCAGCTATTCTACCAAATGCCTTGAGGGGGCAGGGAGCATCCCATCGGGAAAAGTGTAGCAGACTTCCCATTAAGGAAAGCAGTCCTGTGCCTGCCTTTGCCTTCCAAGCTGCCGTCAGAGCCCTCATTTGGGAACCACAGTCACCAGCATTAGCTGGTGAATCCAGCAAGAAGTCTTTGCTTAGTTTTACACACTGCATTAGAGGTTGAATTTGAAAAAAACACACCCAGTAATGACTTTTTAACTCGTCCTGCTCAGTCTCACACTGTCACTAGCATTCAATAGAGAGAGAAACAAAAGACACGTGTATTAATTCAGGAAGTCTTCATTAAAATGGGGCTTTTTGGAACCTAGGGACTAGTGTATACCTTGGGTCACGTTGTGATCTTTCCTCACCTTCTACCCTTCTACCCACTCCCCCTGCTGTGCCCCTCAACCCCCACCCCTACCCTCCCCCCAAGGAGAAATAATAAAGGTTGGTCATGTTTGATACACCAAGTTCCCTTGGGGTGGGGAGGGGGATGTAGAGGAGGGTAAAAGGGGATAAATGGTGATAGAAGGGTGGTGAGCACATGATACAATACACAGATGATGTATTGCAGGATTGTATACCTGAAACTTACATAATTTTATTAACCAATGTCATCCTAATTCAATTTTTAAAAAACTCCCCTTAAAGGTCATTTATTTGTATGTTCATTATAGTTTTAATTGTAATAATGAAAAATTGGAAACAACTTTAATGTCCAACAGTGGGAGAATGATTTGATAAGTCATCAGCACAATGGAATATTACACAGTAATTTAAATAGTAATCTCAAAGAAAATTTGATGACAGAATTATATATACACTAAATTTTGTGATAACATATATATGCAAAGAAAAAAGGTGAAATACTTCAGAATGCTAAGTGGTTATCTCAGGGAAGGTTAGGGTTATTATTACTATTTTTTGCCTTTCGTTGTCTGTATTTTTATCATTCTTAAAAACAAGCATGTATTTTATAATGAGGAAACAAAATCAGTAGACATCATTTTCACAAAGGAGTCCTGGGCTGTACTTTCATCCTCCCCCTCTTTGTCTCTGTTCGCAGTGTACACAGCCTGTGCTAAATGACCTAATGCCAGATATTGCCATGGGTGTGTCCACATTGTCACTCAAGGACAGGAGGCTTCCAGAGCTTGCTGTAGACACAGAATCAAGCCAGTCAGTTTCTGAAGTAGGACCAGGGCCTCCCCAGCATCTGGCGTGTGTCCCACAGAGGCATATACACACGTCTCGAAAGAAACACACACTAGAGCAAAAGACAGATGCTCGAGAAAATCAGCAGGAATATCCGGATTTCTATGACTTCTCAAATACTGCTTGCAGACCTTCTACTCCTGCTCCTGGCAGACGCACCCCTTCCCCTTCGCAAGGTGGATACTTGGGTCCTGACCTGTACAGCCACAGTAAAGCACCACCAAGTGGCTTAAAGTCAGCCTACCTACCTGGCCAGACCTCTCCTAAAAAGCAGGAAGAAGCTAGGAGAGATTATCCGCTGTCCCCTGATGGGAATCTACACAAACAAAAGAATGAGCCAATACACCTCGATGTCATTGAGCAACCTCCCCAGCGGTCAGACTTTCCTCTGGCAACCCCAGAAAATGCTGGCAGCGGTCCAGCGCATGGCAGGGGGCGGACAGCAGTAGAAACTGACTTGACTTTTGGGCTGACTCCTAACAGACCTTCACATCCTGCATGTAGCTCTGAAGCTCCAGAAGAGAGATCCAGTAGAAGACTAGCTGACAGCGAGTCCCTGGGCCATGGAGCTCAGCGAAGTGTGGATTTGGAAAGGGAGGATTCAGTAAGCAGAGGAAGGAGGTCACCAAGCAAACCGGACTTCCTTTACAAAAAGTCTGCCCTCTGAGAGCAACCTCCGTGTCGTCTGTGCCTGAGATGTGAAACATCCCATTTTATTATGTAACCCAGCAACTTCGAGACCCGCTTATTGATGCCAGCTGATAACTCAGTTATTTTATTCCGGTTTTTGTACATACATGTTTATTAGACATGGCATGCTAAGAGGGTTATTTTGAATGCTGCATCTGTCTGTTTTGTGTTTGAACAATTGTGTGGGGAAGCATTTTTAACAGCAAGCAAGCTGGCACTTTTTTTTCTCTTTACAGATGAATTTTTTGCACTTGTCCATTTATTTTATCTGTATTGATTTTATATCAGTATGTTAAACTTTATTGCCGCATTTAAAGGACTGTATTTTCATACTTTTTTGCATTTTGCCATTCATCTACCAATTTCCATGTGCATTGGATTGCACACTAAGATGTATTTTCTTATGAAATAGTTCTGTGTTTATTTTTTAATTATAGAAATTCCAAAGAACAGCACATCAAAATGCTCCTCTCTTTTCAATAATTGTTTTGGTTCGGAAATCTTCCTGCTCAGTCTCTTTAAATCTATTGTCATTCTTTTTTAATAAGTCTGGGGAGCTGGTCTTCGTTCCTTCAGTGGGAGTCCCGTCAGGATCCTGGAGTTTCCTAGTTCACTAGAGAACAGGAAGGAGAAAAGCCTTTTGTACCCAGGCTGCAAAGCTCTTGCTGTGTTCACAGTGCAGACGCCGTCAGAGCCGCTGCAGATTCTGGTAGCATGGACTAGAGGCACGAGATGAGACTCTAAAGAGATCGAGTTCTTAGAATCCTAATGCCGTGGAGATGGCGAAGTAACCTCCAGCCTGCACCACGGGCTTTCTGGTTCCAGCGTCCTCGACTCTCCAGCTGATGGGGAAGTGACTGCTTGCTGCCTTCAGTTGTCTTGCTCTATGTGGGAAAACAAAAAACAAGGGCTTCAGTCTTACGATGTCATTTGGTGTTTGTAAGCATATGTTTTCTTTTAAATGTTTTTTAAAGTGTGTCTGAATTTTGGTGTCCTATAAAAAAATTGTATAATGCATAACGCTTCATTACCAAAAGAGAAAAAACTTTTTTTTTCAGTGAAAACACTACATGTCCTACTTGAACTCCACTAGGGATGCTGGTTTGGGATTTTACTGAACCACTGAGCACCTGGGATCTTTAAGATCTTCTCCCTTGGAAGGGCAATGTGTGAACTAAGGACTTTTTTTTACTCTCCAATGTAAATATATTAGTATTTGAGTTTTTAAATCACTTCAACATTATTCGAGCTTTCACTTTGTATTTTTACAGACACATACACACAGCCGTAGCACTTAGAAGAGAAGAGACTTTCTGCACAGTCCCTCAGGGGAGTGTGTGTTTGGGAGTCTCTTTTCTGTGTATGTGTATATATATATATATATACATATATATAAAACTATGAATCACTGACACTCACTCTAAAACTATGCAGGGCTAGGGAGCCTTTACAAGCTCACATAAATGAATTACATGCACTTTTAAGTCAATAGGTTTCTATTGGGTGTCAACAACTCTGATTCTTCCCAAAACTGTAGATTCTCTTACATTCTTTTCCTACTTTACCCTGTGGATGTACACTCAGGAATAATCTGGCATTTTTAAAAAATCCTGACAGTAGGTCGTCTCAAAGATGGGAAACATCGATATGTCTGTGTACACCGGTACACTGCTGCCTCTCGTTCTGCTACCCGACTCCTTAGCTGCTGCTGGTGTGTCCACCCGCGTTGTGAGGTTGCATACTGAGCTCCAGAGTTAACACTAACCTATTTGTAAGGTCAGCTGTGCATTGCCTTTGAGGCTCCCTTTTTTAAAGACAGAAAAACAGGACTGACTGTTCCATTTTTAGGAGGTTTGACTCTAATAGATGATGGTGTCTTTTGAAGCCAATCTCAGTCTGTCTCTCAGAAGCTAAAATTAATTCCATTATATTCCTTAATGTGTGTTTATATACTTGTTTTGACATGAATTACTTTGATGTAGTTTTAAATATCTATTCTGAATTCAGACGCTACTGTGCTGGTACTACAAATAAGAGTGAGTAGAGTTAATTTGGGTGGAAAAAACTTGATCTGTGTTTTTTAATTTAAAAAAAACAATAACAACCTTAGACAAGAGCTATTGATGTCACACATTTATTCTCCTGAAAATTTATTAAATATTATTTCATATCCCCGAAGTGTAATTATAAAAATAAGTGGCCACTGTTCATAGTTTCGTTTAATTTATGAAGTTTGCTTTTAATAATTTAGTAGCTTACCTGGCTGAACTACGTGTACAAAGAGAAACTTACTTTAACCTATGGGATTGTGAGCTGATGTGACTTGCGAAGATAAACAGATGTGGTTGTGTGTGCTCGGGTAGGTGTTAGACTTTCAGTGTGTCTTGTGCAGTGTGCTTAATAGGGTAGGTAGGTTGAATAGCTCTGTGCCTCTGGCTTTTGAACCCATCTATTAAATCTTTTTTAATGCTTACTAAGCATTAAAATATTTTAATGCTGTACTCAGATAAATGTCAAGTCTGGGTAGGATTGCTCTCAGAAAAAACACACACATGTACAATGTAAAATTTGGCCACAGGACCTGGCATTTTACTCAGTGTAGAAATTTTGTGAGAACCAAATCGCAGAGTACCAGATCTTATCTCGAGGCCCCGACAATCAGGCCGTCAGACAATCACCACTTTGGGTGCCCACTTTGTGGAGGTTACAGAACTACTATTTTGTTCCTGGATCACAAAGAATATTGGCATTTCTTCAAGATGCTGTTGGTCTTTTTTTTAGTTTTGTGATTTTGATGAACAATTTAAGTTCAAAGTCACCTGTGACTCCTAAGGGAAAACATGAAAGGCAAAATTATTCCTGAAAAATGGTTGTTTGAATTTTCCACATACCATACCCTTTTTCACCTGCCCCCTCAGCGTTTTTGAGGCGTATGTCCCTAGACCTAAACTCTCCTGACATTTTGATAACCAGTTAGACTTTATGGATTTTTAATGAGGTCCTTTTGTTGAATCCTTTTGTATAACTCTCTGAAACTTCATCTAATTCTCAGTTTTGCTCCCTCAAACTCTGTTTTTATTATAATTGCTATCCTTTATTGGGCTTTCTTTTGATTGGTTGTTCAAGTTCTGGCAATGGGCAATACTTGTCCATTGAATTAAGGTGATGGTGTGGAGTGTGAGGGGAACAGCCTTGAGGCAGCAGGGCCTGCATGTGTCCATCTCTAGAGAAGAAGGTCTAACATTTCTCAGTAACTACTCAGCAAAATATGTATTTTCATAATGTTGAATCTGCCTTTTAGGAAATATGTTTCATGAAACACTTGTAAGGTATTTGTTTTGCATTTCTAAGGCATTCATGTTTATATCTTAGGACTGAACTCAAAGGGAAATGTTTGAATTTTAAAAAATTATTTGATTCACTTCTTTCTATTGAAAGTTACTATTAAAGCAGCAGTGATGGGTGCTAGTCCCGATTCTGCAGTGGTTTACTTCGTCTACTAAGTAATTTACTTTCAAACCTCATTACAGATAACCTTACTGAAAGAGTTACCATCACACACTAAAAGGTATTTTACTGTTTTCCATCAGCACTGTTGAATGAGCAACGTTTTCTGAATGTTCAGCTGTCTTTTTGTCTGATAAATTTGCAATAGCTGTTATGTAATTCTTGTATTGGCAGGTCTTTGATATTTTTTCCTCCAGAAAACTCTGACCATCTGTCAATCTTCCATATTCTAAATATTATATTGCTGTGGCTGTTTCTATAGAAAGATTACTTGCAAGTGTGTGTCTTGAAAATAACCTCTTGTGTTTGTGTGTTTATGTGAGCTCTCAGAGATGAGCTCTGGAAGCTTCGTCATATACCTGCACCTGACTGTTCTGTAAGCAGGTGGTCTGGATCCTGCTCTTCGATGGGGTGGCTGAAAGGTAAAGGTTCTTGAACTTCTTGCTGTTTATGTCCCGCATCTATACTTCAGAAGTACTTCTACAACACTGCATTTCTTGTGGTTGTGCTGTTACTGGTATAAAGTCAAGTGCCTTCAATGCTAAAGGCTCAGAAATTTTTCTTAAACTGATTTCATGTCCTATGCAAGTGTTTTCTACAACCTGCATAACCAGTACTTTGTAAAACTTGTTTACGCTTCAATTGTACATAGTGTTTTTTAAGGAAATATATAGTATTTTTATTTAGGTACCTCCAAACTTGAATTTGTCTGTGTGAAGCATTGTAAAACAATACATCTCTCTTTTGAGTATCATTACCGTTGTACAAAGGTTTTCACTGGTTCTATTTTTCTACTGTTACTGATAAGCATGTAACACTGACTTTATCCTACATATAGTTGGCATTTCAAATAAATGGCTTGTATAGAACCTGCTGAGTTGGATGCAGTCTGTTTTAGCAATGTGGCCTGCAGTCCTCAATTCCAGAAGCGATTGTACCCACTAGAGTAAAATTGGGAAGTTTTCTACACAAACTTCCCCTCTGTTTCTAGGATTGCCATTATTCAGAGGCTTTTTTTTATTGTTTTCTTGGAAATATATTTTCATTTGAATCAAGGTCATTATATTTTCTACTTTTTCATTGGGGCACTTCTGAGAGATTTTATTTTACAAATTTGAGCAAAAAGTTACTTGCATGGGAGTCTCCAGAGGAAGCTCAGCATTCCACCACGTGGACCCAGCGCCTGGAATGTGCCAAGCGCTGGGGTCAGAGACCAGGCGGGTCCCAAGATTCACGGGCCTCCAGGTGTCAGAGACCTGGCTCAGAATCTGAGCTTTTTTTTCTCTTTCACACTCAGGCTTACTAATATTTTTCAATTTGAAAGGGAAATGGAGTCATGATCTAGACCAGTGGTTCTCAACCTTCTGGCCCTTTAAATACAGTTCCTCATGTTGTGACCCAACCATAAAGTTATTTTCGTTGCTACTTCATAACTGTAATGTTGCTACTGTTATGAATCGTAATGTAAATATCTGATATGCAGGACGATCTTAGGCGACCCCTGTGAAAGGGTCATTGGACCGCCAAAGGGGTCGTGACTCACAGGTTGAGAACTGCTGATCTAGAGTCTCGGTTTTGCATGGCTGCAAAAAATATGCAAAATAGAAGGTTCTCTAATTTCCATTTTTTAATTGCTATAAAGTAGTTATTATTTAAATTTAATCATTCCACTAACAAGTTCCATCTTATTTTGCCCTTCATGCTTCACTAAGGTAATCCTATAACCATCTTAGGTTTAACTGTGGAGTATCAAACAAAAATCTGAGGTTTTTGTGAGTGAGCATCTTAAAAACCTAAAAAAGAAAATCGAATAAGTCAACGTTCATGTCTTTACTTGTGGATTTCCCCTGGAAGAGTTTAGGCTGGCTTCCCTCACTACCTTAGGCCGTATTTCTTCTTGGTGCATGAGGGAATGTTTGAATCTACTCTTCCCAGGAATCTGGAGCCCCAGACAAAACATAGGATACCTAGTCTCAGAAACTTGGAAATGACTTTGTCGTGGAAACAATCAGAACAGTATATTCTGATTATCTGGTGATCATGGCTGAGGGGAAGGCTGGCTTGAGGTGGCCCAGGAATGAATGAGGAGAAATATGCTGGTTTCAGTGCTGTGCACTCTTTTCTTCTTCAATCATTTAATTAGGTACTGTTTTCTTTAATCCTTCCTGAATTACATACTATTTTTGGTGCCATTTTATAAATGAGAAAACTGAAGCAGATACCCAGTAAGTAACTTGTCCAAGGTCACGCAGCTAATAAGCCTAGAAAGTATGGTGGCCCAGGCCGGGGGAACATACTGTGCAGGGTGGAGGTAGGCATTCCTTTGGTTCAGCAAACATCAAATAAGCAACTTCTACCTGCCAGACACAGCTAGGTC